AGCCCTTAAGGGTGGCGTTATGCAGAAATTAATGATGAAAATTATCTCCTACTGCTCTACAAAATGTCTAGGGCACAGAGACTCATTTTTATAGCAATAATTATCCATGTCTGTTCTCTCATAGCCAAGATTTCCAAAGAAGGTTATTTGATATTTCCAGATTGAATGGTGATCCTCTTCATAATCCACCCTGTGATATTGTGTTTTTCCTTAATTCTTTGGAGAAAAGTTTATTGTATCCTTCCAGCAATTCTCATCAGACTCTGCCATTTTGGCAAGAAATATTTTTTCAGATAAGCCACCTTTGTCAGATTTAAATTGCTGGTTATGAAGATAACGTAACAATCATTATTCATGTTGCTAAATATATCATTTTGCTAAAAAAAAAAAAAAAATCAAAGTTTCACCCTATTTGTTTATTGCATTGAGTGATATTTTTGCTAATTGTCTCTTTTGCACCAATTATTTATTCTGAACAGTTATTTTTGGCACAGTATCATTATGCAAAAGGAGAGAGCCTGAATTCTTTACTATTTTCAAGATTAGCCCAGTTCTCACTAGGGCGACTACTTACGGAATGAAGAAATCACATTTGGCCAAAAATTATGATCTACTATTTCTAAGCAGCCTGTTTAAAGATACGGTTAAATAAATCTCAAATGAATATTACTGTAATATAATTTGTCCTATTTAATTTTTTCTCATTTACCTTGTTTCATAAACATTTTGAGAAGCCTGAGAGAAGAGGGCTGTACCTTAGAGTATAACTATTAGTTAAGGACACAACATTCATTATTTTTTGGCTGCTGTACAAGCACTTTTGTGTGTAATTGTTCTCACTTCTGCTTATTCTGGTTTGATTTTGAGTATTGTCTGGTATGTGTAATCCCAAGGCAATTTCAGATGAGACATTGAAAAAAAATTTTCTGGAAGGAAATTGCCCGTTTTTTTGAAATCAATCCATTATCAAGCAGAGTTAATACTGTTCTTGTTAAAGCATTTGTTCATTTCAAGATGTGTAACCATTAATTCTTCTGAGGTTAATCAAGTGGTAAATCAATTAACATCAGTGACATCTTGTCTGGATCTGGGGCCCACATGGCTAGCAAACAACTGTTTACTCACTGAGGATCCAATTTTAACATGTTTTAAAAATATTTGACCAATTCTGTGATTTTTCCAGATGCTTTAAAATTGGCTGCTAGACTATGTTGTTTAAAAAAACAAAACAAAAAAATCTTCTTTCTCCAAATGAACTGCTATTTTGACATCATTCCAGTCTCTTTCTTTTTTATTCTTTTTTTTTTTTGTTGTTAAAGTGTCTGAAAAAAATTATGGGCAAACAACTGCAGACCTATTTTATTTCAAATGAGGTGTCTACTGTAGAGAGAAAATCTTAATCTGGCAATAGCTCAGTTCTTAGTATAGTGAAGGTCCTATAGTAGGCTATAGAAATTGGTTTGAATACTGTTCTTATGCTGTTAAATCTCTTAGATATAAATATTCCCAAACTGCCATTCCTTGAGAAGACAACATAAAAATCTTATGAATTATACAGTAAGCAAGCAGATTTGGAGGTTGCATAAGAGACAGATTGATTTAACTATATACCATGTTGTGTCCAGGAAATCAGACCTTTCAACAAGGTTTTCTACACCAGAATTCTTACATTATTTTTTATGATTAGATAAGGATGGTAGATAAAACAGTGAATGGCTCGGTTTTCAAGATCTGCCGTGATTATTGTTTTTAGAAGTAAACCATGATTTTGAGACATAATCTCATTTGCTTACTGAGCAACGAAGACCAATTTATGAGTGGTTAGTATTATCAAGTAAGACTACTATATCTTTACATCCTTTATCTAGGCATAGTTAGATCCACCATTAGATCCATCATTCCTCTTTAAATAATCAGTTGAGCGTGCCCTATCTTGAATCTCTCCTTGAGAAGCTGAGAGGAGTATTTCAGTGCCTTATTTGTCACCAGTAGCATGGACAGCTTGCCTTATAGAACAACAGATTGTTTAGATTCCAGATTATAAAGAATGCAGCTCTTGGGATTCCTGGAGGTCTTCCTGAAGGCCTGAAACATGTTTTTCTAAGACTTTAGACAGGCTCCCAGTGAAATTCCTGAGCTGGTATAAAATCATACTGATTTTTTTTTCTTGAAGCATGTTACGTGACTGTCCAAGCATACCCTATCTTACAAACCCTTAATGCTCCTTACATTACGTGACTTTTTTTTCTTTTTTTTTCAGTCATTTTTACCAGCTCAGCTGGATAAACAATTACTGTCATTCTAGTCCAACCGTATAGTGCGAGAAATTCCACTTTAAGAAAAAAAATGTATCTATGGGCATATTAATGCTTTAATAAATGCTCAGGGACAGAAGGCATCAGCTCTCCTTAAAAAGAACAGAATAATTTAAACATGGGAATACCCTTATATCTTGTAGACAAAAACAGAGAGAAATTAAGTGGCCATGAATTGGTACAGCTTGGAAGAAATTATAGAAAAATCTGGCTACAATTAATAAGAGATTCACTTAAGAATCATCTTCCTTTTTCAGATTATTCAATTTCCTCCTCCTGTTTCAACAACAAGCATAGACAGGGCTTTCTGTGTTGACTCTAGAAGAATACATGCTGCTTCCTGTTGTGTCCCAGCTGTAGATAGAAAGGTGCTAGGTTACGTCAGCATACCCATGATCCACAGATCTACTGGGAAATGTTCTGTAATGGAAAAGATACACTCAGAATTAAAATCATATTACTGCAAAGGAAATGTGAAAAATATGTATGGTTAAATGGTTTGGTCCCTGTCTTTGCATTATTCCTTACAATCTTGTTTCATAAAAGAAGTCTGACATTTTTAGGCAACTCATGCTTGTTTTCAAGCATATGGATTATAAGGCTATTGGAAAGTAAAGTGTGTAAAAATCAGTTATGTGTGAGTGAATGTCCTATATGTCCTAAGTTTTTCTGTCCTGTATGGAATTATGGACAATGGTTCTGAAATAGGCTTTCATTTTCAGTAATTCCACCAACCTATGTGAACTTCTATTGGTTAATACCCATGAATATATGTCTACGTTCACACAGAGGATAGGCTAGGAGCAATTTTTTCTATAAACAAGATGACTACAAGTTTACAATAACTTCTGCATGCCTGCTGCCTTGTCCTAAAGCTGCAGCTTGTGGAAGCTGAAATTTGTCACCTAAAAACCTAAACTGATGCATCTTGAATGAAAAAGAAAGTGCTTATTTTTTAATAGATTATCACATATATTCACTGATTGCTTCCTCATAGCTTGATTTCAGCTCACAGGATAAGCAGGATTCTACTTCCATACTTCAGTGCCATAAAGCACTGGTCACTCAAGTATTTCCAAAAAGATATTCTCTTGACAAAACAAGTTCTGGAAGATATGAAACAATGTGTGTAGGATGCCAATCCACACAACATACACTTGTGTACATCAAACAGAGAGATGAGTGAGATTTTTCTGTGTCTTCCACTGTTAGTGGGACTTAGAGAAGAACAAGATATTTCTGCATGTTTGTTGTTATCCTGTGTCTGCTTCCCAAAGAAATTTCTCATTGAAATTTCTAATAACTCGACTTTCGTTTAAGAGTGTAGAGTCACTCCATGTAATGGCAATGTCCCACTCACCCCAGAAAGCGAGCCACACACGATCACCCATGTGTTGACCTTCCCACACTGTTATGGCTGTTGCCTTGGTGTAGTTTGTACCTGCAAGTGGAAGCAGAGCCCAAGTATTGTGCCTTAAAGATAAGTGCCAAGAATAAGTCACTTGTCTGCCAGCTTAAGTGACTTGTTGGTCTGAGAGGCACGAGAGCGTGCGCTAAGGAACTGAATCAAGGTTTCCTAGGTTTTCAATGACTGTCTAGTCCTGGACAGTGTAGACAGCAAATGCTGGGTCTGACAAACTTCATTCTGGTCTATCTTCATCATTACAACTCAGTGGATTTGTGCAAGTGAGTGCAGTAGGGGCAGCTAATGATGCTCTGATAATGATACTAAGTGACTGGTGGTGTGCACTGCAATACTTTTTACCTCTTCATTATTTAGTGGCTCAGTTTATCATTCCCTCTACTAAACTGCATTTTTAAATGGGATACTATTCATCTTCTTATAGATGATAGAAAACTGACAAATTGGAAGGAGAAAGAAAAAATACCCCAATTATGGCCATGCACCTTTAGATCATCTTCTAAGAAAAGAAATTCTCCTTGGGATGGATCTAAGAGAAACAAGAAAACTATACTCCCTAAAGATTTGATCTAGTCCTGCAAGATAAATGGGTATTAATGTCATAGTGAGGATGCAAATGGCATCTTCTTTCACCTTCCCAGTGAAAAGGTTATTAGGAATCCCTTAAAGGAATACACATCTGTGCAGTCAGGCAGTTGCTCTGTAACTATTCACATTCAGTGCTGGCTGCTTGGTCTTCTTGAAGAATACACATAGACCTTCAGTGAATTCCAGGACTGGGGGTAATAGAGAAATTAATAACAACATAGGCACCTGAAATAGCTTCAATAGGAGCTGAAAGTCCAAAGGAATTGCAGGCTGGAGCACGCAGTTAGTAAGATTTAGTAGAGCTTTTCAGCAAGCCAACATTTTACATTTTTTACCTTTGCACTTATCAAGGTAGATAACATACAGTAGTTGGTGGTCATACAAATTCCATCTGTGTGAAGCATACTCCTTAATCTATCCTTAAGTTTTATATAATAGAATATTATCATATATCATTATAGTCTGCTTAATGCAAACCTCCCAGCTGTATAAATAATTTCACGTAGTAATTCTGTAAAATTAGGACTCATTCTTTTGAATGGAACAAAGGAAAGCAGAGAAGAGGAATGAAGGTTGTTTTGGTTTGGATATTTTTTAGCTTACATGACCTTGTATTCCTACGTTCTGGTAAAATATGTCTGATCTGTGACTTTTGTCTTTCCCCTTTTTCATAGCCCATTTCTGACCTGGAGAGACATACAGCATATTATTGTCAGGACTTCACGTGCAGGACATCTGAATGCTAATGACTGGAAAACTAATGCGGCTGGTTATAAGGGTGAGAGCTTCCTTTCTTCTTGCCATCAGAGGCAACATATTATTTGATATTTTTGAAGAAGAAATAATCTCAAGTAGTTTGTTTGACTCTATGTTGTGCATAGTTTTGAGACCTTTCAGGCTCCAACTGAAGGGACCTATCTTCTCTTTTACAAGGAAAACCTCTTAGAATGACTAAACCCAAAAATAGCAGCTACAAAATGCATTGACCAGATCTTAGCCCTTTTCAGTCCTATTTCACACACTGCTGGCAGAAAACTAAGTAAATTGGTGTTTTTTATTTTTTCCTTGTATAGCTAGTATTCTGCGAAAATAGTCTAGAGTTGAAGATACAGCAGTTTCTGGATTCAGACCATGTTTTCATTCAGAATTGTTGACAATTTTGATTAAAAATGACAAAACAGTATTTTCAAATTTCTGTTTTATATGATTCACCTTACATTATTTATATTTAAGATTTCTGTCAGATTTAGGATAAAATCAAATCGAGCTATCAGGACTTTTAGTGGGACAGAAATCATACTATTCAGTCAGTTGTCATGTAGGTTTCTAAAATTTTATACGGTCTTGTAATTTTGTATTAAAGTTACATCTTTTTATCTTTATTCTCTTTTGTAATGCAAGCAGAGGTAAACATTTGTGCCATTAAATAAGATGCCTATTTTCAGGATGGGTTAAAACTGGACCTTGGATCCAAACAACATTGTATTTCAACACGGATTGGCTTCTGATTCCCATTCACTAATTTCTTACTGCTTGCAGTTTGGATTGCATCTAAAAAAACCCCCAGAATTTCTGGTTCTCTTTTCCTGAATTCCACCCAAGACTGCAGTACTTCTTTTAAGATGAGATTTGAACTGTTTTGTGCTAGGATCTCCTGAGAGAAGAATGTAATATACAAGAACCATCAAATCTTTACCCTGGTTTCACTTTAAAACTGAAGGCTAGCTTTAATCTATTTCAGATCAAGGCACTGCTACCATAGAGCATCTTTAATATATCATTCTGACCTATGACATTTCTGCTGCAATGGAATAGAAACCAAACCAAAAAAACTTTCGTTTTTGGATCCAAACCAGGATCTAACTACACATGGTAGATTTAGAAATGGTTATTTGACTCGAACCCCCTCATCACAGGAAGGTTCTGACATTCAAGAGCCTGGTTTTGTCCCATTTACAAGCGCATGCCCACACACAAAAACACATACAGTGAGAAATAGATACTTCCTTAATTGCAATAACATTACAGTATTTGTTATTGTGAAACATTTCCCAGGATTTAAAAAGTTTTGGCAGGAGACTATGACTGTATTATCATTTTGCTGGAGCTATCTGAAATTCAAACAATGCTTTTCAAGTAGCATAAAGTAGAGCATTTTTTTTCCATAACTCACTTCCAAAATTCTATATTTTTATGCTTTTCCACTTGTTGCCCAAGAGAGGCAAACACCCTGTGAGGCATTTCACAGCAGCTGTCACTCATTATCAAAGGAGAGGTCACACTAACACACCAGCAGTAGCAACACTGGCAGCAGGACTTGCACTGTTGCACCACTGGAGCTGCTTATTCTGAATCCTTGGAGCCACACATTTTTCTATGCATTGTAGCAGATAAATAGTGAGAAAAAGAGCTGAAAATAGGTTTCTTCTCCACTTGTGCAAAATCACAAACACAGATAAGCTCAGCTGGGGGACTGGGATTCAGGAAATACAACTTGAGCTGGCAGAGCTCTGCTGTAGACTCCATGGTGGACTGAAAAAAAGGAAGACAAACTAAGTGCCTCAACCTCTGTGGAGCTCAGGAATCAACCTTAACCCAAATAAAAGCACTAGTTTTAACTAAATTATTTTGGCAACTTAGGCTGAGCAAATGGTTCCAATAAAAATGCAGCTCTCTTTAAACCTCTGTTGGTTTTGGAAAAAGGAGAAGCAAAAGATTTAGGTTAAATCACAACATCCAAACCTGAATTCAAAAGGGCGTTTGCACACCACTGCTGGCAAGACTGAAACAGTTTTTTTACTATTGCACGTGGCAATATTTAGTGTAATATTACACTATTATCCTTCACTGTTGCCAATAGTAACAATTAAAGTCTGTTTTTTCATAGATGAATTACTCTGATCAGACTGAGTTCCTTAAGGAATTGTATCATAATTTTGTTGATGGCAAGATCCATATTGCTTCCACAGCATGTTCTTAACAAAGGAAGGGGTGAAGATTGATTGATTGATTGATTGATTGATTGATTGATTGATTTTGTTAAATTAACTGAAGCAATGACAGTCACAAGTAACAATCTGCCTTTCTTCCATGCATACTGGGGAAGAAAGAAAAAAAGGAGGAGAAAGAGAGAGACAGGCTTGCTCCTTTAGAAATGAGAACTGAATGGGTGGAAACAACAAAAACTTGGAAGAACCTCTCACTCAACAAAGGGTCAGCAAGAGTTGGTAGTTGAAAGTGGGTCAGCATGCCTTTTCAGGGGGCTGTTTTGCTGAGCTGCATGGCAACCCTGTCCCTCACTATAGTCCCTGGCAGTGTTTTGCCATTGCAGAACACACTGAAGGAGCTCACAGATGTCATTACTGGTTGCAAAATCTCCCATTTTTTTCTGTCTTACATTCATAAAAAGAATGATTAATTAATGAAAAACACTTAAGCCAGCTAGTGATTTGCTAAAGCAGTGCCCGTTATTTGTTCAATTTTCTGGCAAGTAAACAGCATTCGTTAAATGCAGGTCAATAGAATTAGCTCAGGAATGGGCAAGAATTTTTTCTTGGTAATTTTTTTATTATTGTTTTGTTGTCAGCCAGCATGTATCTTTCCTCAGAAACTTATTACCTGCTAGTCTCAAAAAGAGAGACTTGAATACTCATTTTGGGATATTCTCTGGTTAGTCAGTTGTCATATAATTTGTCACTGGATAAAAAGATATGTTATGCTCAATTTCACTTCAAAATCAGAGGGGTTTTTTAATAATTAAAGCAGTTAATTAGCTGATTATATGGAAAAATTTTAGAGAACATCTGTTTTTGTGAAGATATCAAAACTGTTCATCTGGTTTTGCTAAGGCAGACTGGTATTGCAAAGGCTTCTTGTACTGTCAGTTGTTTGGTCAACAACAGAGCATGTAACTGCATTCATAAAAAGAAAATACTGCATTAATGGCGACTTGTGTCTAGGTTGAAAGATACAGGATGAAACTGCAGTTTTAAAAACAGCATTCAAATCATCTGAACAATTCTTTATCTGTAAGTGAAACTCCAAATACTGACAAATACTGTCTCTGGGGAAACAGACCATTCGCAGTGAAGGAATACTATTAATTTGCAGGGAGAGTTTTTAGAGAACATCCTTCACTCTTGCTGGCTCTAAAGTGTAGACAATAACACTTCAGTACAGTGAAATAAAATGCTACTGAAAGATACAAGGAAATCAAAATTCTAGCCACTTTTTTTTTCATTTTCAGACCATTCCTAGGCCCAGTGGAGGTATTCTTCCTACAGAAACTGGGAGTCATTTCATTTGCCCGGGAGTAAGAAACTGCCAGAGTTATGTCACATCCCTTTAGGTTACTCAAAGTATCTGCGGCTTCCACTGGAAAGTGACCACTGGAGAGTATAGGTCACTTAATGTTTTACGGCCTTTTAATATAATTGCATAATTATGGTATTTAATAAAACTGGTGATTGTTCTTGTTGTGAGCAGAGTATTACCAGTTTGGGAGTGAGAAAAAGATGAGCCTATCTATGCCCCTTAATAAGAGACCTAGACTGGCCAGATTTAAATTTCTGTGACCAGTAACCAGACACAAATTCAGAGACCAGAAAGAAAATCTTCACAATAATATGTATATTTCAAAGACAAATAAACTATTCATAAACACACTGCTGCATATTTTCAATAACTTTAAAATTATATGTTTAAATCATTGTTAGAAGCTGGCATAAGACTTTTGAAAAACAGCAAGCACTTGTGAATGGGTATGTCAACCAATCAAAGCTGTTCCTCTATCAAAAGACCTTCAAGTCTTACAGACGCTAACTGATATTTTCACATGCCGTTAGCAGCCAATATCAACTCCTACTCACCCCTAACGCCCATACACATGGTGCACGGAGCAAGTGAAACACGGGCTTTGAGTTTAGCTGTTGTGATATCCTAGTTTTGGGTAGTTGGCAATCTGACACCAAATGGATGAAGTTGCATTGGTCTTTGTAGGAGTGAGGAAGACTATATCCTATGCAAGCTAGACTAATGACTTTCTGTGCTTGAAAGATTAAGCTGATATTTTCAGTCAGACAACTTAGAATGCTGTTGATAAGTTTCTTGTTCAACTTGTTGACGAACATGGGCAAATGAAAGCTATCTCACATCTGACTTGTTTTTCTTGCTCTGCCTGGGCTGTGTTGACTCAAAGCAGTGTTTCCTCACCAGAAATACCCCTAACACCATGTCCTCTGGCCACCTGCTCTTCTCAGCAGGCCCATGGCTTCATTGCCAAGCCATGACACAGAGCTATTTCTGCAGCTCTACAGCACCCAGGGAATCCCCCTAAGCCAGATTTTGTGTCCAAATACATTAGTCCTTGGAAGGGGCTCCAGGTTAGTAGTGTCGCTCTCTAAACCACTGGTGTAATGACAACATCATCAGACGAATCTGACATCTGGAGACCTATTTACCAGACATTAAGCTACATGATTTTAATGTTATGGGAATTACACTTATCAAGAAACAAGCATATAACATACCATTTCCAAATGTGAGCCACACAAATGAGAACCTTACTAAGTAAGGTGTTTCATGTAGGCAGCAATGAAGTTGCAATAAGAAGTACAAGGGCAATCAGAAGAGACTTCAGGGCCTTGGGATGACTGGTTAAATGATCAGGGGCACAAGCAGTGTTCTCCTCTGTCCTTCCAGTTGCAGGGTATGATGAAGGAAGAAACAGGGAGACCCAGCAGGTCAATAACTGGCCCCGAGACTGGTATCACCAGCAAA